GCTCTTCCGTTGCGAGAAGCAGCCCAGCAGACTGATGTGGGGGATCTGATGAGTAGCTGCGGGTGGCGTGTGAGGCCGGACGACGAGAAGGAGGCTGTGGTGATGTGCCACAACCAGAGAACGTGCCTCCAGCTGTGCCCACACTCGGAGGAGCCTGGCTACAAGGCACGCTTCCCAGCTGCAGACTTCACACCATCGTCCCTCCCCATTGTATGGCCCAGCCTACGGGATATCCTGTTTTTTTGGTGGGGAGAGGAAGAGCACAAGGAACAAGAAGTGCCTGATGGTCTGATGAGTTGTAGGCATGGCACATTCTGCCAGAGCAGGAGCACAGGCCCCCGGTCAAAGCAAATATTAAGGGATAACAGCACGAATGTGAATCTGAAAGCACTCTGATAAATAAATGTCAAAATCAAGTAGTTCTGAGTTTGGTTTGGATTTTCCTGCTGGATCTACATTGTGCTGCTTGCTTAAAGAGTTGCTAGGGTTTATTTTTGTCCTGCGGCGTGTATTTAGGGAGGAACTTGAGAATCAGGCCAGCGGTTGGTTACGTTTTGAATGCTCTGGCACTCAGAGTGGTAGCAATATAATAAGGTTCCTCACTTTTTATGGCACAAATGAGTCTTGATGCTCGTTGTCTTTTTCTGGAAGGTGAGAAATCTTATATCTGTCTTCCTCCTTTTTAGGTCAGCTATGAGATGCTGGGAAAAATCCCCATCCTAAAGAGTCTACGATACAGAGAGAAGCAGTCTGGCAAGGATGTCACCCTCCAGGATGAACATTCGGACTTGGCAAACGCCAACACGCCAGCAGTGCTAAATGAGAAGGCGATGGCTGAGAGCGCAAGACCGCAGGCTGCTACGGGCTCAGCTCAAATGGGACAACATCATGTTGAAAGTGATTCTTTAAGTCCCAGATTAGAGGGATCTGGCGTGGTTACTACTGTGTATGTGGGGAACATACCTCCCAGCGTAAGAGTGAGCGAGCTGAAATGCGCTTTAAGGGAATTCCACGCAGCTCCTTTACGACTGAGTTGGCAAAGAGCACAGCACAGGGCTTTTCTCGATTACAAGGATAAAGCAACCGCAGAGAGTGCTGTATCCTCTTTAAAAGGCTTGAGCCTCGGGGGTAATACTTTGCGAGTCGAGCTGGCCAAGAATCAGAGAAACAAAGAGCAAGTAGAAATCAATAGTCAGAAATGAATATGAATGGGGCAGAGGGAACAGGCGTGTTTTCATTGTTTTGTGAGAAGCCAACCTAAGTTTTCAAGGATGTTAGTATATCCTCTGATTTCTGCAGGCTGAACAGCAAAGTGCAAAGGCAACTTTTCAGACAAATGAGACGTGCAGCTTATTCCTGCAGTTGTACATGCAAAGTGTATTTATCAAGACAAGTGGTAGAGGGGCAGTTTCTCTAAACAGTTGCCCACGAAGTACCTGCGCTTCGTGTATTTGTTTTTCATTGGCCACGGGTTTATTTGCTGTTCGGTGTGTGTGCAATGGTCTGGATCAAAAACCTGCCCCTTGGTAGTTGTAGTGAGGTAGATATGTTCTGTCATCTAAAGGTTGTACCTGCAAAGTTATACTTTTGAGCCTAAAAGTCAGCTGCAGAAAATCTATCTTAAGGGTTAGCATTCTCTTTATTAAAAAATGGGAGTTGCCTGTTGGGAATTTTCAGCATATTTTTCTTTCAGATGGCCAGTGGGGAGATTGCCCTTTTTGTGCTCTTGAGGAATGGTTGTGGAAATGCAGGCTCAGCCGCTAAGTTCCAGTGACAGCTATTAACATCAGGTGGCAGAGATGGTAGCCCCTTTCTCAGCTTTGGTTTGTTAATTCAGCCCTCTGTAAAACTTATATTTCTTATTTCAGTCAGACAGAGGAAAGCAAAAACCAGGTTTCTCCTCTCTTTTTCCTCGGAGCACTTCAAGTGCTTTTCCTGATTGCCTTATAATTTGGTGTGATTCCATTGAAATTACATTAATATTAATCACTGAAGTGGAAATGAAAAGCAGACTGACGGTGGTCAAAACTTGTGGATGCCTAGTCCGGCGTGGAGTTGGTTGTAAAGTTACTGGAGGTAGTAGCAAAGCCTGTTCCTGCCGTGCTTTTGTCAGCAGCAGTGTGGCCTTCCTGCACCCACCACCCCAGACAGCGCTGAGGGTTCAACAGACAACTCTACGTTGTGAAAGTGCTCTCACGTACCATCTTGAACGGTAAGATTTGCACACACATGAAGCATTCACTTACAGTGGAAAGGAGTACGATGATTTATTTGGTATGGCTTTTATTATTTTTTTGCTTTCCCCTTTGGTTTCCTATTCCTGAAAAACAAGTTGAATTTTGGCTGAACCATCCTTTCTAAACAGAAGCACTTTTGCCATTGATGCTGGGCACATAGTCAAAGTAAGCATCCAAATGGGTATTTTGTAAAGTATGAGTTGGAAACTTTTTTTAGCCAGAGGGTACTGTTAAGTATATTTTTAAACATGTTAGTATGCCTCAAGGGGTCAGACGTTTTGTACAGTATTAAATAAAAAGTTCTCATCGTTACCGTGTGCTCTGTATAGAGGGGCTCAAGGAGAGCAATGCTTCAGCTTCTTGTAAGGTCAACAAAGGAAAGGTTTCTCATAACAAAAACAGTGCTGTGCTCTAAAATGCTCTCTGTTTCTCCAGCTCAAAATTATTTTTGGTATCATTTAGTCTGAATTAAAACATCGGCACTGTGGAGTCCTCTGCGTCTTGTTTCGGTATTTGTGCACTTTGAGGGTAAGAGTCAGGGGTTATGTTACTGCCTAAACATAGTCATTACATCATGAGCTTAGAAAGCAGAGGAAAGAAAAACAAAAAAATAATTATACATCACTGCCTTCCCCTTCCAGATGATGGCAAATTAAGTAACGAGACTGTTTGATGCTCTTTTTGACTCTTTCAATAATACTACTTGCTTTGGTGAAGATGCCCAGGTGACCTTTAGCAGTTAAAAAGCAGTTATTCTGCCAGTGAAAACTTCCAGCATCTCAACCTTTCCCTGCTGCATTACAGATCGAACACTGATTTTCTGGACAAGTAGGTGGCAATTTCATCCTCTACCTTATTTCCTTTCTTGACATCTGAAGTGTCGGTGCAGGTACATTTACAGGTTGTGTGATACCTGATGCGCTACGTTTGCTCACTTTGCTCTCCCCTCTGCGTGCAGTCAGCGGCCGGGTTAGTTTGGACAAATGTGTCTAGGTGGTTTTGAGTTCGTGGTTATGGCTCTGTGTGTAACCCATGGGTGCTAGGTCTGCATCCAGCTCTCTGCAGTTCTCTCCCAGCCCATCGCTTTCTTCTGTCATTTATTGTGAGGCCACGTTTCACAGCGCTACCTAATGTCTTGTTACTTTCCCAGCTGGTAATTAACCATCCGATCCACACTACAGGGAAGGTATTAACTAGACAGAGGCATGTAACTGTAGTTAGAGAGGAAAATTAATTACTGTAAGCTTAAGCTAATTCATTGGGATTTTGACTGGGCTGGAATAGTGCTACAACAGTTGTATTTCTGGCTTCAGTAGTCAGTTTTGATGCAGGTTATTAATAAACAGCAAAACTTTTTTGGGCCTTGTCATCTTAAAGTCATTAAAAAGTGTTTTTAATTGGAAGTAGCAGCTGCTCCAGGCTAGAGTTTGGCAGCCTGTTGCAAACCCATCTGCACCAGCAGCTTGAGCGAATCAGTAGTGAGTGAAGTGCAGGTACGAGTTCATTTCTGTCATCTCTGCTTCAAGGGCAACACCCAGCAGGGAAGGAATTAGCGCAGGCTGCTGAAAGTTGAGCATGAAGCTGCAGAACGCTCAGAAGGGTTCAGAGCTTCTGCAGAGGTTCAGTAGTGAGGCGTTACCTGGAGGCAAAGCAGGAAGCCTCAAAAAGATCACCTTTAGGTTGCTGTAAGATTCCCACAGGGAAAACAAGAACTGGAGTATTTATGTTCTGGGGGGAAAAAAAAAAAAAAGCAGCATGACTTGCAGCAAAGCTGTTCTGTGAGCTTACCTGCGAGCAATCAGCAGTTCATCTTGCATCAAAATGCTTTCTGAAATGTGTCGTGTACCCTCACAGCAGGAGCGTGAGCCTGTGCACGCTAAAGCCAATGCGATTTTGCAATTTCTGTGTTGGACAGTGAGGGAAGCAGTGACAAGGACGGGGCCCTCGCTGCTGCTTGGGAAGTTGCTCGTCTTCAGCTAAAAGACATTTCAATGCAAGATGCTAAATCGCTATTTAGTTAAATAATGCCCAAGGCACACGCCTACATGGCCTTCTGGTGTCTTTAGCTGTATGATGTGGACTTTTTTCTTGTGGGCTGACCGAGTTCCTACTTGAGGAAATGGCAGATTTTGAAGAAAAAGTGAATGGGGCAGCCTGCATCTTTCAGATCTATTGTTTCAGGCTCTCTGCATGCTCAGGAAGACGTGTTATACGAGTCACTTCTGACTTTTCTCTAAATCCACAAAAACTCTGAAATGCAATGCATTTTAGTGAAGCCGTGGGCTCTCAGAACCGACAATCAAGCCATAAAGTCTGTGCCCTGAAGGATTTAGACTTTAAAGCTGAGAACCTTTACTCATATAATAATTCTTTGGCTTGTACGTGTTGTAGCCGTGGCCCTGCTGTTAGCACACGGGTAAACACAGCTTGTGCCTCATCTCGGCTGGGTGCTGGCCATCACGGCTCTTCTTTCTTGCTGTGACTGAAGCACCAGTGCAGGACTAGAGAGGCTTTGATGCTTCCAGCCAGTTCTCTGGAATGACCAGCCCTGCTTGGAACAATGGGGAGAAGGTGTCTTCAAACGCTTAACTGCAGTTTCTTTCTGTAAGAACGGTGGGACACCCTTGCTTCTCTTGTGATTAAAAACGTCGACAGTGATGAAGGAGCGCCTGGACGCTGCGGAAGAGCCCAAAACGCTGGTGATAGATGGCTAATCTGCTGTTAATAGGGAGTGAAGCGATCCCTAACACAGGCTTGACTTCAGCCCACTTGCAGCGGCGGAGGAGCCCGCGTTTCGCTGCTGCGCGATGAGAAGAAAAGTTCAGCAGTACAATGGGAAATACTTTCCCGAGCCAACTTTGTTCAGAAGCAATTAAAAATGAGGTCTTTCTATTCTCTGCGCAGCCCGATGTCCTCGCTTGTCATGTGGTTCGGCGCATTCTTTCCAGCTCCTTTCATGGCACAAACAAGTTAGGATGTTGTTATTGCACACCCTCCCCCTACCCTCCCCCTTTTTTTTTTGAGGGTTCGGTGGGGAAAGATGCTGAGAAGCTCCGGAGGCTGGTCGGTTGTGAGGAAACCCAGCTCTGCTCTCAGTGCGACTGGGAGGGCGTGGGATCCAGCAGCGACCACCCTAGGTGTTACACCATGGACTTGAGCTTCCTGGGGTGATTCTGGCCTTCTTCCTGCCTTCACTTGTGAGGGGAGAAAACGGTATCGGGTGAACGGAGCCTCTCCCAGATCCATTCGGCTGGAGGACATGATCACTTTGGAGGGGATTTTCTTTTGTTGAATGATATTAGTCACAGCGTGGTGTGTGGCACAGAGCAGCAAGGCAACATTGTGATCTGCTAACAATAAAAAGCGAGGTGGCGAACTGCCACTCAGCGCCGAAAACTATACAGTCATGAGGGTTTTCCTTCAGACAGCGATGGCCGTGTGTTTCCTGGAACAAGGACAAGGCCACACAGCTTCAATCCACTAAAGACAACAGCGAGTAAACAAGCCATGTTGCTGTGTAGTCTTCTCTGAATGACAAGAGTCAAAGATTGTTTGTTTCCATGGAGAGAAAAAGGGAGAGGGGAAAGAAGGAAAAAAAAAAATAATTCTCACTATTTGAGTGGGGAGGGAGTAGAAGCTTTTTCCTGGGTCCCACAGCCAGGTTCCTATCCAGCCCTCCAGCATCTCCATGCACATCAGTCCCTGGTCCCTTCCCAGAGAGCAGTCTTCAAGGACAGAGGCTTTAGCCCATTATCGGTAGAGATAAATAAAACATCTCAGAAAAGGAATGGTTAAATACTGTCTCTTTTTTTGTCTTCCCCCCCCAATTTCATCCTCTTCCACTGCCCCAAAGGGAGAAACAAATGTTTTTTAGGGGAATGTTTCCATTGAAAACTCTAGCACTGGGGCTGCATTTTTCTGCACAACTACAGCGAGGGGCGAGGAGGGGGAGGAAAAGCATGTGCTGGGATTTCTCTCATTCCGGTTCCTCGGAAGAAACGGCCCCATGCAGCAGTGCTTTGCTCTAGAGGAAACATCTGTGGCTGTGACCATGTTA